TTAACAACGCTTGCACAAGGCAATGATGGCGACAATGATGATGACAATGGAGGAACACTTTTTCGTAGTTTTCCCGAGCAATAGCAGTATGCTTTACTTCCCGCACAACACCACTTCGTGTTTTACCACGGAATTACGTCGCCGTATAGATTTGCAGGGAAAATGGGAAGTTGCTCTTAGCGAGATTCAGTTTCCTTCTAGTTTTTTACATTTACGCGAAGATGAAGCTCTGATAACGCTCGCAAATACCTTTCCTAACGGCGATATTTCGTTAGTTAATATTCCAATTTTGTCGGGAATTTATTCTTCAGAAACTGATCTTATAGAAACTATAAATCATTCGTGCTCTCAAGAAAAATCACATATTACATGACATCACTGAATCCCCTATATGGTAATAAAGTTTCTATATCGCTTACATGTAAAGAAGACAAATGCAATCAAATTCATAGTGTAAAGCGTAGCGACAAATTGCGTCGTATACTCGGATTTAAATCATTCTCTGTTAATACACCTTTCGTAGTAGACAGAGCTGCCGGTGTTGATAGTTTCGAACCAATCAGCTTGGTCCGTACTATCCTCGACAAGTTATTTGTTTATTGCGACATTTGTGAGTCATACATAACCGGAGATACGCTAACACCGCTGTATCGAATCGTTACTAACAATACCACGGATAAGTACCGTTTTAATGAGGTGAAACATTACTCGCCTGGATATTATATTCCCCTTTGTAAAAAAAGTTTCCGCGTGATAGAAATAGATATAAGAGATCAGTTTGGTAAATTTATTCCATTCAAATTCGACACGTTGACGGTAACGTTATACTTTAGACGCGTATTCGAGTAGAATATGGCTCATTATATGGAATATTACAAGATGCAGAGCGGGGGCGGTATTCCGAGAGTTTTCACGGGATCGACGTATCAGCGTGGTCACGGTATCGGAAGTTTCTCGGCGGATTGTTCAGGAGGGTGCTTTTTTACCTGGCTAGCGGAGCGCGCGCGATCGGAAAAGAAGCTCTACGCGCCGGTGTGAGAATAATAGACGATGTGGGGGATAACAATATTTCGCTAAAAGAAGCAGTTAACAGTCGTTTCAAAGAATCACGTGACAATCTCAAACAACAAACAAAAGAAAAAATAACCAGCTTAATGCGAGGGTCGGGATATATACCCCTTGCGAAGAAACGCCCGGGTCAGTTTGACCCTGGTAAGCTCCCCGTTTACTTCGCGATCAAGCGTCGCCGTTGGTGCTAGTAGCACCAACAAGAAATCGGCTTCCGTACGGAGAAAAAAGAAAACTCGAGCAATTAAACGCTCAACGAGTAAAAAAATTCAGAAAAAGAAAAAGAAAAAGAAGAAGCGCGCGACAAAAATTATCAAATGCCGCGTGAGCAAGAAACGAACCGTGAGCGATATATTCTCGTAGACGAAGCAAAATGTCTTTTCTTCATACTCACTCGTGTGAGTGTTTCAAAAGCAAACTTGATCTTTTCACTCTACCGCCCACGCAGACCAGTATCGAGAGTTCGCAATGGATTCATTACAAACCTTTGTCGACTCTTGCGGACGACGCTCCCGTGGAGTTTGTTGTACCGGGACGTGGTGAAGATTACATAGATCTCGCGCATACTCTTCTCANTCTTCGCGTGATATTGCAAACCCCCGCAGCGGTTATTCCGGCTACTTCGGCTACAGCTTCTAGCGCCATTGCTGCTGCAGAGCATAAAGTAGGGCCTGTAAATAACTTTTTACATTCCATGTTCAATCAAATTTATGTGTACTTCAATCAAAAGCTTGTGTCGCCTCCGAACAATGCTTACGCGTATCGAGTCTATTTCGAGACATTGTTGAATTATTCTTCAGAGGCAAAATCCTTTCATCTCACCACCTGGGGTGGATATCCCATCCTTTATGGGATAGCGATCCTCCGGGGCTGATGGATGATGGCTTCGATATTCCAACTGAGAATTCCGCTCTCGTGAGACGTTTGAAGTATTTCAAAAATAACCTTGCTGTGGATCTCATAGGACATCTACATTGCGACGTTTTCAATCAGGATAAATTCTTGATTAATGGCGTGAAAATGCGCCTAAGACTCATCCGCTCGAAGGATTCTTTCTGTCTCATAGAATCTACGCCGCAGACAAGAGCTCGTATTGTAAACGCCACCTTGATCATGAGGAGAGCAAAACTAAGCGCTGGAGTTTTATTAGCTCACGCTAAAATGCTGAGCAAAACCACTGCAAAGTATCTTCTCACGAGAGTTGAAGTTAAATCGTTTACGATCCATAGAGGAGTAGTAGGAGAATCAATTGACAACGCCAAACTCAAGCAACTGCCGAAGCGAGTGATAATCGGTTTTGTTGAAAATATAGCGTTTAACGGCGATAGGAAACTTAATCCATTTAATTTTAAAAACTTTAATATAAATTTCCTGTCGCTTTACGTCGATGGAATGCAAGTTCCTACTAGACCGTTACAACCTTCTTTTTCAAGAGACTCTCCTCTCTACATCGAGGCTTTTCATACTCTTTTCTCAGGAACGGGTATTCATTTTCTAAACGAAGGCAATGCTATAAGCAGAGATGCTTATGATCTGACGACATCAAAACGGAGGAGGAGAAAGAACAACTAACAGAAGAAGAAGATACGCGCAGTGAAGACGAGTGCCCACCGAAAACCTCCTGCCTAAACGACGTCGCTGTACAAACAGAGGTACAAGGGAAATACATAAGATTCACTCCGCTTTCTTGTGACTATCTGTATCGAAATAATGAATACGAAAGAAATATTGCAAGCATTGCGACAACTGCAAATATCTGGACACACGGGAATTTATCCAGCCGACAAATTGCCCAGGATGTGGACGAAGTGGACAGCAATCGTCGCTAACACAGACAATCACAATCAACCAGGAACCCACTGGGTTGCCTTCTTCCTCGATGGAAACAGACACGCCACCTACTTCGACAGCTATGGAATACCGCCGTCAGATTCTCGCTTCCTTCTGCGACTTCGAAGAAATTCCGCAACGCACACATGGAACACGACTCAACTTCAAGGATATTTTTCGCAAACGTGCGGGCATTATTGCTGTGTGTTTCTCTATTTTATGGCTTACGGGTATAGCCTTTCCCAATTTTTACAACTGTTTTCCGGAAATTTCGACGCCAACGACAAATTAATTGTATGTTTATTTTGTAAAATATTCTCTACGAAATCCAACAATGTACAATCCAACAATGCACAAACCCGCTTTCCTGACCACTATATTCATCACTGTACTTGTAAATCAAAAACAAATAATCACCTGTACTCTTGTATTTTCTTTTACGTATTTAAAATATATCTATATCGAATAACTGTACTAAGTTGTTTTCTGTTATTCTTCCCAAGAAACCTATTCCTAAACTCCTCACACAGTTTTGTAAACATTTTAGTCTACATTGAATATCCATCGAAAACTCTCGTAGAATTTTCTCGAAGTTTCTCGCGCGAACAAGTACGCGCAGGTTTAACGGTCCCGAGTCATAAACCGTTTTTTGTCTTCAAAAAAAATTATGTTCTCTTCTATACATCGGCACGCTCTTGTTACCCCCCCCACAAACGTGCAGATTTAACGGTCTCGAGTCGTAAACCGTTTTTTGTCTTCAAAAAACTTATGTTCTCATCGGCACGTACGTGTCAACCCGCACGTACAAGTTCGCGCAGATGAAAATTGTTCAGAAAAAATCCGGACACATAAATTCATTTTTTATATTACATCAGAACCCTGACTTTCTAGTCACAGTCTTGCGACGCCTGCTTCTATTTCAATTTCTATTTTGCCTAAACGCACTCAACTATGCTTCACACTCATTGGTCCTTTCTTGGGGGCTCTATCATCCCCATCAACTACCCCTGGACCTCGCTCATTGGGAGCCATAAATGCCCAGACGCTGATTGATCCTTCTCGGGACCGATGCCACCCCTGCCCTTACACTTCCTCACTCAATCGACGCCAACTTGCTCTCATACACGATTGAACGCACGAGGCAACAACATCGGAGCGCCGCCATTGCCAGTACCAACTACACTTCAAAACGAATTTTTCAATAAATATATACTCTTTTAATAAAGAATTCTTACTTAAGAATATTCTCGAATTTTCCTCCCACACAAATTCCTCAACAACAAAATTTAAAATACACAGTTTTAGAAAATTATAAAAATTTATAAAAAATTTATAAAAAATGTATGGGATCATAAATCATGTCACTTTTCTATCTTCTCCAGTGGGCGTGGCCAATTACTCCCAAGGGAAGGGGAAACTACCCTGGTGGGGCAATGGCGCCAGAAGTGGTGGGGGGGCCAGGTAGAGGGGGTTTGTTTTGACGCGCCATAAGTGCCCACATACTACTAGTGCGCGAACCAGCGTCAGGAACGCAAAGAAGCTACAGTTAAAGAAATGAAACGAGAAAATATTATAATTGTGAAGCTAAAATTGGAACAGGAGAGTGACAACGCAAAAAAGTTAATAAAAGAAAAAGTGGATATTAAGAACATGGCGATGGGAGTAACAAAATTAAGAAAAGGAAGCAAGAGAACTGTAATAATGGGATGTGAAACTGGAGAAGAAGTAAAAAAAATTGAAGAAGACAGTTCAAGCTAAACTAGGAGAAAATTATAAAGTAATGGAATCACCACAATCAAATCCGAAATTAAAAATTATTTATGTAGAGATAGAAGAGATAAATTTAAATGATGATGAACTTATATCTACGATAAAAAGGCAGAATAAAATGGATACAATAAATAGTGAAGAAAATAATTAAAGGAAAGAAAAATAATAACAACCAGTCTAAAAAACAAGAAAGTGAAGAGAGATCAATAATATTAGAAACAGATGATGAAACACACGAGGTGATTCTGAAGAAAAGTAAGCTAAATATAGGATGGAAGAAATGTCCTTTGTATTTAATCATGTTGGTGTTAAAAGATGTTTTAAATGCTGGGGTTATTATCACATAGCTAAAAATTGTGTGAGAGACGAGACATGTCACAAATGTGCAGGAAACCACAACTCGAATGACTGCTTAACGACAAAGAAGAAGTGTGTAAATTGTATGTATTCAAAATTCGAGCATACAACCTGAAAATAAATGACGAGCACGACGCTCTCAGTATGGAATATCCAACATTTAAGAGAGCATTACAAGAAGAGAAGAGGAGAGCTGGCTGGAAGGACTAAATAGCAACTACAGGAAGATGTGGAGCTACTGCTATATACAAATGCGCAAAGTCTAAAGGCGCATAAAGATGAGATACAACATCAGATTTTGAAGAAAATAAATCCTGCATTCTTAGCACTGTCGGAAACTAGATTAATTGATGAGATTGATAGTGAAGTGAGCGTTCAGGGTTATAGTATAGTTAGGTGTAATACTGAGAACAGAAATACAGGAAGAGTTGTTTTATATATAAGGGACGATGTTAAATATAAAATAGTATTAGCAAAAACTTTAAAATTGAACTGTTGGTGTGTAGCGGTAGAAGTAAAAGAAAAATTGTGTAAAAAGGTGATTATGGTAGTATATCACTCACCAAGCGCATCGCATGGTGACTTTATGAGATTTCTGAAAGATACAGTAGAGGAGTTAACAATAAAAAAAGAATGTATAGTAATTGGTGACTTTAATATAGATCTTATGTTAGATTCTTTTTATGCAAAGAAGCTGCAAACGACAATACTGAGCTTAGGTATGAAACAATACNTTAATAAACCGACAAGAATCACGAAAGACAATCAGACAATCATTGATTTAATCTTTGCTAATAATGATAGTTTAAAAGTACAGGTAGTTTACGAACCTAAAATTACGGATCATGCATGGCTTCAAGTTACATTTGGTGCTAAGAGAAGTGAAAATAACTATAGAAAATTTAGCGCTAGTAGCTTTAAGGAATTTGATGTAAGTGAATTTACCAGGTTAGTGGAAAATAAATTGCATAAAAGACAAGATATGGATGTCAGAATGAGAGCGACAAAGCTTGTTGACAGTATAGTAGAAGCGTTAGATGTAGTGGCGCCGATAAGAAAGTTTAGAATTCCGAAGGTGTGGGAAAGGAAAAAGTGGTTCTCAGATGAAATAAAAGAAGCAGCTGATAGAAGGAACAAAGCATACAAGAAAGCGATTTATGAAAATAGTGAGCAAAATTGGTTGCAATTTAAAACTGAAAGGAATACAGTTGTAAAATTAATTACAGATAAAAAAAGAGAGTATATATATATTATGAAAATATGATAGATCTCAACAAGGAAAATTCTACGACTATGTGGAAAACCTTGAAAGAAATAATTAAAAGTGAGCCAGTAGGAACAAAAATAGTAGAAAGTATAGATTTTGAAATCTTAGATAATANTGATAAGCCGAATGTAGCCGATAAATTTAATTTATACTACGTAAAAAGTATTAATAATATAGTTCAATCTCTATAAATGTAGGTAGATCCAGCGGTACACATAAAAAAATTATTTATGTTATTGAGGACAAAGGAATTATGGACAATTTTGAGATGATAGGGATAGACGAGTTAGAGAAAATTGTTATGAGTTTACCAAAAAAGAAAGGTACGGATGAGGGCATAACTAGTGATGTATTAAAAGCAGCTTTTTGCGTAATAAAAGAAGAGTTTGCAGATATAATAAATAATTCTTTGAGAGTTGGTTGCTGTCCGGAAGGATGGAAAACTTCTACGATAGTGCCGATATCAAAAATAGGTAAAGCGAGAAAAGCAAGTGAATACAGACCTATTAATATATTACCAGTATTTGAGAAAGTGTTAGAATTAGTAGTAAAAGAACAGCTTGAAATGTATCTAGAAAGTAATGCTATTATCACAGAGCATCAGTCGGAGTTCAGAAAACAGTATTCGTGCGAAACAGCGATTCAAACTG